GGTTTGATCAAGCACTGAAAAAAAAATTATTGTGATGGTTAATCTTGAATGTCAACTTTATTAGATTAAGAAACACCTACAACATTAGTAAGCATACATGTTATTGTGTCTGTGAAGATATTTCTAAATACATTTGGCATGTGGGACAGCAATCTGTGTGGAGAGACCCACTCTGAGTGTGGATGACACCATCCAGTATTGTGGAGGCCTGGGTGGAACAAAATCAGAAGGAATCCCATTAGCACAACGTCAATCTCTCTTTCTCTTTCTTTGTCTCTTTCTGTCCCTGTCCCTGCACCCTTTTTCTGCCTTGAGATGAGCCACTTTGTTCCAGCCTGTTCTCACCACCATGATGCCTCACCAAAGACCTGTGTGTACCAATGGAGGCAGCTGGCTGTGAATTGAAGTCTTTAAAACTGTGAGCCGAGATAAAATTTTCTTCCTTGTTATTCTCAAGTATTTTGTCACAACCGCAGAAAGCTGACCAATACTGTTTCATGGGGGACATATTCACTCATCACAATAATAGATATTTAGGCTATTTCAGCCATTTGGCTATTGGGAATAATGCTGCAAAGAACATAAGAGGACAGATTTCTCTTTCAGATCTTTATTTCAGATCTTTTGTGTAAATATTAAGTAGTGGGATTTTTGGATCTATTTATAGTTGTATTTTTAATTTTTTGAGGAAACTTCATACTGGTTTCTATAGTGGCTGTATGATTTTATGAAAAGTTTATCATGTTAGGCTTACCAGATTGCTTTGTAGAATGTGTACGTTTCTTCCTTTAAAGAAACCGTCTATGATCTGATGCTACTGCAAGGAATGAGGAAGTACAGTGAAGAAAATGTGTTCAATGGCAGGTGGCCCTAGACAGCTAGTAATTTGACCTACAAGGTAATAAACTTTAAAAAATGGATTGCTGGTAGGCAGGATGGAGTGCCTCAGATACTTGAGGTCTTCTGGAAAAGGCCTTCCTCATTTTCTGGCTCTATGAAAAATGCAACTTCAAACTTGATAGGATTGTATTGAATTTGTAAATTGATTCAAATAATCAGATATTTATTTCTGTTTGTATCTTCTTCAGTTTCTTCCAACAGTATTTTCTTTTCTTTCTTTCTTTTTTTTGGTTTTTCGAGACAGGTCTCACTATGTAGTTGAGACTGACCTGGAACTCATTGTGTAGCTCAGGCTGGTCTCAAACTTACAGTGATCCTCCTGCCTCAGCTTCCTGAGTGCTGGGATTACAGGAATGCGCCCGGCCTCTGACAGTGTTTTCTAGTTTTCAGTGTACAGGTCTTTCACCTTCTTGGTTGAATTTCTTTCTAAAGTAAAATGGTTTTCTTCCTTTCTTTTTCAGACAGTTCATTTTTAGTGTATAGAGGCACACTTATTAAATTCTGCAGCCTTAGTGAGTGAGTTTTTGGAAAAAGTAACAATAACAGTTATCCTCTCTTCAATTTTCTGTGGTTCAGGAATGCAGGACCGTACCTTGGTTAGACGGTTCTGGCGTAGGATCTTTTATGAAACTGCATTCAGGTCTTGGCTAGGTTATAGCCATGTAAAGATTTGCTTGGGACTTGATGGTCACATCTTGTTGATAGCCTTTTCAGCCTGCTAGAACATTGGATTTTCTATATTTTTGTCCACTCCACAGGATTTCATAATTGATCTTAATGCAAAGCTTTTGGCATCAGTCAGAGGAGACATTT